TTTATTTTTACTCTTAAGGTTGTTTGAGGATCTGTTCCTCAGGGGTCACACGAGCTAAGGAGGAGCCCCTGGCTCCTTTCTTTTACCAGTTCCATCTTCGTGAAGATAAGTCAAAGGTTCTGCTTGGCTGTGGCTGGCTTCACTTGGAAGCATGGAGGAAATGTTTCCTCTGTGTTGACCCTCCTCTTTGTAGACTGGACACTGGTTCAAGTCCATCTGGTGGGGTTGCCATGGCCTCCTTGATCAAGAGGACAGGTGAGTCACCATAGTTACAGGATGTTTTGAGAGATGCTCCATAGTCCCCTGCAATTTAGTCAACCTTGGAGAGCAAGGAACAAAAACTGTCCTTTAAGTCCATCTGAACAGTTTAGTATAAGCCTCAAAGTATGGCTGTTAGACATCCAAGAAGGTTAGTTCCACCAGTCTGGTACTTTTAATTACTATGCACTACATTGATAAAACTTTGGCAAAAACCAAATGTTCTCTGATAAACCTTGACTAGACATATATTATGTTCCTTGAGCTAGCTGTGTGTATAATTTGTCAGTAGGTTGTTGGACTAATACGGTTCCCTCTGGTTTTCTTAAAACTAGCTAGGCATTATTTATCTCTCACTTTCTAACCCTTCCACCATGGTTTCCTCATTTTTTCCATTTCTCCCTTAATAATATCCCCATTTTTTCCATTTCTGCCTTAATAATATCCTTCTTCTATGGTCTCTCCTCTCTTGAGCTCCTTCTTTCCCTTTCTCCCCAAGGTCCCTTGCATAACCCCCCCACTAAAATATCCCCATTTTATCCATATTTCCTCTGTTAACACCTGTTTCCTACTGTTCTTCTCTAAAATAAAGAACCTGAAATATTTTTTAGTGTTCAAGATCTTTAAGCATGAGGAAAATGCAAATTAGAATTACTTATTTCATCTTACCACAGTCAGATTGATTAATACAAAAAAAAAAAGAAAAAATGACAACAAATGCTGGCATGGATGTGAGGAAAGGGAAACACTTATTCACGATGAGTGGGAATACAAATTGGTACAGCCACTATGGAAATCAGTGTGGAGTTTCCTCAAAAAGCTATAAACAGAGAGTTATATGATCCAGCCATACCTCAAGTATATACCCAAAGGACTCTATACCCTACTACAGAGATACCTGCTCATCCATGGTCATTGCTGCTGTATTCACAATAGCCAGGAAATGGAAACAGCCTAGATGTCCATCAACTGATAGATGAAAAATGAAAATGTGGTACATACACACAGTAGAATATTATTCATTATAGAGACGCAAGTCTGTCTTGCTTAGTGGGGAACTTCTCTTTCATGAAGGATGGTGATACCGACAAGCGACAGAGTCACCAACTCTGGGACTTGTGCTTTTACAACAAGCTGCTTATTAAGAAATTCATTTTATACATTACAAGGAACTGATAGCCCCATGGGGTTTGGCAGTTACATACAAAGATTTAGGGCACAAAGCTAGGGGCTGTATGTAAAGCAGGATGCTTAAACTTTTACTCAGAGTTACCGGTGCCTATCTGGTAATTCATTGACCACAATGTTTTCTCTCTTAGGGCTAAAATCATGGTAAAGTTTTACCTTTTAGCCCAGGAGTAAACCTTTAACCTAGCCTAATCTCTTAGCCAATGATAGCTGAGTTATTTGTTCAGGACAGGGAGATGGACTAAGGGCTGTTGACCAAGGCACTTTCCCCCAGAGCAAGAACCTTAAACTTTTGACCTGGCTACTTTTCTCTTGCTAACCCTTCAATGTTCTGCAAGACTGGGATATCAGAGCTGATGTTTTCCGTGCCCCTCCCTTTAGAAGAGAACATAGCCTGGACTTAAAGGTTTTAGGCTCATTTCATCCTAGAGCATGCCATCCTGGCTTCCTACAATTCATCTCTTTAAAAATCAGTTATGAAGAACTCAGGTGAATGATTGGAGGTGGAAATAATCATTCTGAATGAAGCAACCTAGACCTAGAAAGTTTGAGCCTTCTTATGGACAAAATTCTCAGGGAGATGGAAGAATAGAAATCGTAAAAAATATCATCTACCTTTAGGGGTAAGAAGAACAGAAAAGAGGGCTGCATCTTATTTCAAAAGACTAGCCAGACAAGTCTGGCAACCCTTCATTGCAATACTACTACATAGCCATGGTGCCTGAGTGAGTGTAGGATGACAAATCTGAAGATAACCTCACAGCCCCTCCTTTGCAGTGAGGCAACATACCTAATTTTCCAGTTCCCGCAGAGAAAAGAAAAGAAGAGCAGCTAATGGGAGTAAGTAGAGCCTACTACTTCAGATCTTGCTGTAGCAAAAGTGTCACCTATCATCATATTTATTTTATAGAGGCTTTTAAAGTCAAGCAAAGAAATAGAAAAAACTGTAAATGTCAAATAAAATAAAGGGAAGATTTTAGATATTCCCAGTTGGAAGTCCATTTGCTCTATGATATAGGAAGCAGGTTAACTAGAACTGGGCAATCCTATGTAATTTGTAAAGGATTGTAATTGGTTTTCTCCAGTGGAGGCCAATTGTTAGGGAAACTGGCAGGTATTGATGAATTCTTGAATGGTTATGGCTAAATGCTACAGCAATTGTGGTTTGAATTTGTGGGTGATTTGCAATGGAAGCTATGCTTTTGCTTTCTGTGATGATTGCTACAAGTTATGGGCCAGGATCTATTGGTTAATAAGATCTGACTGTTGCCTGATTGTAGATTAAATTTCCCCAATCCCAGAGATGTTCCAAATTGGCTGCTTGTGAACAGGCAGATGTGGAAGCTGTCTTCAAATTTAGGAAATGAATGGTGAGAAAGAATTGTGAACACTGGTAACTAGTAAGCAAAGATACAGCAGTCACTATTTTAAATCAGTTTCTCCTTTCAATAGGGAAAATACATATCTTATGCAAGTAAGATTTTTTTCTTTTCCTTCCTTTCTAAAAAAATTTGGTCTCTTTGAGACAAGGTCTCCCTATATCCCTAGATAGCCTGGAAATCACTATGTACACCATACAGACTCAATTTCACAAAGATCTGCCTGCTTCTGCTTCCAAAGTGCTGGGATTAGAGTCATGCATCACCCTAAATTAGTCTCTTTAAGATCTATTCACACAGTTGTCACAGCTGGAAAATTGGGTATTCATAGGCAAAAGTATGAAATCAGACCTGCATCTCTCACTAGATAGAAAGATCAACTCAGAACTCAAAATGGATTAAATATTTGCAAATACAAAAATACTAGAAAATAAATGAGAGTAATGCTTCAGGACAGTGGAATAGCCAAGGATGTTTTTGAAGAAGACATCCAAGTTACAGAAGACATGAACAAAAACATGGGGGCATCTCAAACTAAAAAGCTTCTGAAGAACAAAGTATATAAACACTAGTGTGAAGAGTGTTTAGAATTAGTAAAAAAAAAATCTGCAAATAACACCTCGGATGTGGACTGTTTAATATTATTTTTAAAAAGTATTTATTTTTATTTTGTGTGTATATGTGTATTTCCTGCATGAGTGTAAGTTCACCCATGTCATGCAGTGGCCACAGAGGTCAGAATAGGGCATTGGATTCGACTGGAACTGGAGTTACAGATGGTTATTAGCCTCTATTTGGGTGCTGGGAGTTGAATCCAGATCCTCTGGAAGAACAGCAAATGTTCTTAACCCCTGAGTCATTCTATCCAGTCACAAAACCTAAAGAATTTTTTACAAGACCAAAAATTACAGTCAAATTCATTAGATCTGGGGTTAAGCTCAAGAAAAGTTATCTCAGAAAAGTTCCTCATGTGGTTTTGAGGCAGGCCCCAAAGTCGAGAAATAGGCTATAAGAAATCTACCAATCTTCAAACTTGTTATTTCTCTATAGACCATTTGAAAATTAACAAAATGGTTACAAAGTAATTCAAAGCTTTTAGCTATGTCAAGGAGATGACTAGTAATACTCAGAAACATAATTTGTGGAAAGGGGCCAGAAGACCAGAAGATTGGAATTAACCAAACATGAATCGCTTAATTGGTATATTAGAAGTCTTCAAAAGAAAAGAAATGTCTGTTAAGAGGAAAAGATTTATATCAACCTTTCTATAGTTTCAACACTAACAACTGGATAATAAAATACACAGCAATACTACTTTTATCTTTGTTACTTAATGAAATCTGATTTCACAACAATTCTCTGTAGTTATACTTTCCCAAGCAAAAAAAAAAAAAACTGCTTGTTTCACAATTTTCTGTCTCCTTACACTCAATTTTCCAAAGAACTGTTGACATTTAACAGTAAAACCAACAATCATTTTACATCGTTTTTGTGAAAATGGAAATCTTCTTGAAACTCAAAATATTCTAAAGGGAAAATTGGTTCTAAAATGTGAAATCAACAAATTACCAGGTATGACTTACAAACACAAAAGTCAAATGTAATATAAAATGTACCAAAAATTCTATTTCTTAGCCACATATTGTAGAACTGTACTTGCTTTTCTTTTATCTACAGGTATGTTTCTCAGCTGATGAAATGACTCAATCTAATCTTTTACTTTAAATCTACAGATATGTTAATTTTGATGTATTTCTAATAAATATAAATATTCCCCAAATGCATCTTTTGGAATCATGCTTATTTTGACAGTATTATTTAATACAAGATATAACCAAAAATTTCCACATAGAATATTACAAGTATCATCTGCAACACGTGATAATGTTTAGGAGAAAATACTGGCTAAAAATTATTAACATGTTGTAGAATCTATTACAAAATACCCTGTTATCCATGGAGTTCTCCAGAAAACGTTTTTTGTAACCAAAAAAGGGGGGACTAATTTGCTTGATTCCAATATATAATCCAAAGTTCAGGGAACAAAAAAGAACACCTACAAATTACCTTCAAATTGTTTCCTTTCTGTTATTTTCTCTTTCTCTAACCACCTACAAAAGACATTACTCATCAACATTACTATATATTATTTAAAACTACCAGAACACACAAAAGATGTTTCTAAAAACATTGTTTATTTTAAAGCATTGCATCAAGTTTGAATCTCAGTAAATAAAGCCATGGCTTCATTATATGTTGAATTTTGCAGAGTATAGTCTTCCAAACAGCAGAAATGATAAAGTAGTTTAATGTAAAAAGTGTTTGGTTTAAGAGATTAAATAATATGGGACAAAAGTACAATATGCATATCTTTTGGTTCAGTGACTCGGGCTGTGTTTCTGGTCCTTTTAGAAGTAACAAGACTCAAAGGTTGTCTCATTTGTTTGATACTTATGCTTTCTGGTGAAATCAAGGCATGATAGTAATTCTTTCTGCTTGGATTAGTGTGGGCACATGATCTACCTAAACTGAAACAAAAAGGTCAGATATTGAAGACTGTGGCTTTCTTGCTCATGAGTTGTATTTAAATGGAGCAGGAGGCAAGTCACCAAGGTTATTTTTAATAAAAATCTATTGGAATCAAATCTTGAGCAACGAGGGACAAAATATTGTATTTTGTTCATCAAAAAGCCTGAACTTTTGCAAGGAGACATTTTAAAGTTAATTGCCGTTTCATTTCCATGACTGGACCATCCATACTTCACTGAGACAAGCAACAGTGAAACAGGACTGTGTCAGAACTGTGTAGGTAAACAAAGCACCTGTCAGTGGAATGCATTTAGTGCTTTAAGTGTGGGAAATCAACTATTTTGATCACTGCATGTGTAATGAAGTTATATTTAGAAGCTTAGAAAACTTGTGGTTCAGGACATGCAAGGCTCTTCTACAAAACATGGGAATGTCAGAATTACCATTGTAACTTACGCCTAACACATCACAAACATAACCTGTAACTACAATTTAACAACAGTAACATCACATCAAAAAGGTACATGTTCATGTTCACTACAGTTAATGAGGCAATTTTGGAATAAGAGTCTCTCTCCCTCTCTCTGTGTGTCTGTCTCTGTCTCTGTCTCTGTCTCTGTCTCTGTTTCAATTCATCAATGTTTAACTGCAGATATCATTAAGCTACATAATGATATCAAAAGGATTAGGCTCTAGTATCTTTAAAGTATTTAAAACGCCTTGGCAGATAACAGTACTATTCTATAACATCTACTTAAAGTTTTTAACTTCACCACCCATTTCCTCACCATAATGTTCACATTTTAATTGTGTATTCATTTTGATTGTTTGCATGCGAGAACACCAGCTAATCTATTATTTCAACATTAAGCCTATTTCTTTGAAGCCAAGATAATTTTGCTATTTTATAAAAGCAATGGAGACTCATTTTTCAAGATGCTGAAGAATGCTTAACGTTCACGCTTGCTGCTTTGCCTGAGCTTCTGCTTCCTGAAATGAAAAACAAACAAAACATACGTTTAAATATCATAAGGCAGATACCCATGTGCATTGCATTAGAATAAATTAGCTCTAATTACTAAGAATATTCAAACGCAGTGTAATTACTTCCAGAAAAAAAACAGGTTTTAAAATAATTACCAAAAGCTTTCATAATGCCAGAAGGTGCTATGGAAAATTCTGGGAGATTAAAAACTCATCAACAATCTTACCAAGGAATAGACCCAGTGTGCTACACAACTGACTTGCCAAGCAAGATGTGCCAACTGGTACAATGGTGGTATGACTACTATGAGGGAAACCAACTGCTTTCTGATTCAATTTGAGGTAGGTGTGCTCCACAGGAGGAAATTCATGCCTGGTTCCATAAACCCTGTCAAAATCTCATGGCTGAGGAGGCCATAGTACCTAGGAGGAACCTGTTGCTGTTATTTTACTCAATAGTAATGTTGTATTCGCCAAGCTGCCTTCTGTGCTTGTGCCCATAGATTTGTGTTCCTTGAAAGCTTAACCAGATAATCTTCTTTTTGCAGTGAGCAGCAGTTAATGCAGACTCATAATTGGTCAAAATGATGAGAAAAGATGACTGCTAATTGTTCATTCCTCAGTGGGACATCTGTAGCACCCCCTCCAAGGTTGAGAGAACACTTCAGGAGAGGGAGTAGAAAGAATGTAAGAGCCAGGGGGTGGGAATATTCTGGAATGCTGTCTTCTGGGCACAACAAGGCCATTGCACTCATAACTCACAGGTGGGCTACCTACACAAGATGGAGTCCTGCCAACATTCCCTCATGGATTGAGGAAAAGCTCATGAGGCCTTACTCGTCTCTGAGAAGCTACTGGCAGTTAACTGTTGCTGGGGGGAGGGGGCATTTTCTTTAGCAGGAACTCTGGTAAATGGCTCCCCATCCATGTTCATATAACTTATTGTATTGAACTTACCCAACTTACTAGGTCACATACACAGGCATGAAAATAGAAGTGGAAATATTTGGGAAGAAGAAGGAGTTGAGAAAAAGGAAAAGGGAGAGAGGATAAGGTACAAGGTAAATATGATCAAAATACACCGTATTTGTATGTGAAATTCTTAAAGAATAAATGCACAATATTTTAAATATTAAAAAAAACAGCAGAAAAATGAAATTACAAAATAGAAACTACTATCTGGAAGCTGTCTAACCATTGCTAATCGTTTGAAATGATTCCATAAAAACAAGGGACTTGGGGCTGGAGAGATGGCTCAGCGGTTAAGAACTCTGGCTGTTCTTGCAGAAGATCCGGGTTCAAATCCCAGGACCCCATTGTCAGCTAGCAACTGTCTGTAACTCCAGTTCCAGGGATCTGACAGCCTCTTCTGTCCTCCGTGGCCATTGCACGACATGGGTGCACTTACCTACATGCAGGCAATACACACATACACATAAAAATAATTTAAAAAGGGGACTTACAGTGTCTAATTTATATTGTGTTTAAATACAGCTTATTTCCCTTTGGATGATTGTTCGTAAAAACTGTGTGTTCAAAAACATTGTTGTCTAAAATTTTCAGTTAGATGAGTTTTCTTTAAGGTTTAAACCTTAGACATTGTGCTATTTTTTCAAATAGTGTGGCTTCTATGATTCATGACAGTAAATTAGCAAGAGAAATCATGTTTACGTCCTTGTGCTCTGCATAATCAGTTCCTCTAGCACAGGAACTCTACTCTGTAGCTCCCATTATAATATGTGACACAAAATAAACTTGTAAAAACATGATTGGCAAAAGAAACATCAGGTCTAAGCTTCAGAAGTCAAGTACACCAGAAAACAACACCCTAAATGCTGGTTTGTAATCAAATACATGACAACATTATAAGAAGCCAGACAGCTGAATAAAATGAAGGAAAGAAGAAAAGAGGCTCTACCTCATTCTTAACATATTTTTATCAGAATAAGTGAAATAATGCTACTGATATAACTTTGTAATAGGAAGAAATGGAGGGAGGAGATAAGAAGGGGCCCTCTAAGCTCTTTTGAAGTTTGTGATACTGTTTGACTATCTGAATGAATATATCTTGTACCAATATTATGCATTTTGTTTTCTTCCTTTTTATAATTTTGCTATCATTTATTATTTATGTGGGGGGTATGTGTGTGTGTCAGAGAGAGAGAGAGAGAGAGAGATGTGAGGGGGGCAGTCATTCCACAGTGCACATGTAGAGGTCAGACAACAACTTTATGGAATTCATTCTCTCTTTCTTTTTTTTTTATGTGTATGAGTGTATTGCCTGTATGTATGTGAGTGCACCCATGTCGTGCAATGATGTGGAGGTCAGAAGAGGGCTTCAGATTCCCCTGGAACTGGAGTTAAGGACGGTTCAAAACTGCCATGTGGGTGCTGGGAATCAAATCCGGGTTCTCTGCAAGAGCAGTCAGTGCTCTTAACCACTGAGCCATCTCTCCAGCCCCTCATTCTGTCTTTCTACCTTTACGTGGTTCTGAGGATTGACTTCAGGTCACCAGGCTTGTGCAGGAAGCATCTTTATCTGCTGAGCCATCTTGCTAGCCCTTGTTTTCTGTTATAGTAGAAGTTTGAACAATTTTCTCATCTAATAAAACTTATTTTAGACAAAAACTTATCAAAAGCCTAACATATACAGTTGGGGAAGCAGTTACATAAAAAAATGTGCATCTGCCCATGAAGTCTTTCTTCCTACAAGCACACACCACCTCTGAGTGACCAATACTTGGAAATAGCCTACCTTCCTCTAGACACACCCTACTGTTCATAATGATTTAGTTTGCTAATTGTGTTTCATTCATCAACTATGTTAATTTATCCAAAGGTTTATTATTGTCCAAAAATAAATAATGTAAGTTCACAAGTCATTAAATCAACCAGAGAGCTTTAGGAATAAAAAGATAACATTGGGTAAGCAAGATGGCTCAGTGGGCAAAGGCACCTGCTATAAAAAGATGAAAGCCCGACAATCTGTATTTAATCTTGGACTACATCTAACGGTAAGAGAGAACACACTCTAAAGCTGTCTTCTGATGCCACTTGCACACACGCCCATGTACACACCATTCAGACCCCTACACAGAAACAACAATAATAATTAATAAATGAGTTTTTAAATGAAGAGAATATTTTCCTTCCTGCTTAGCTGGTGGTTTCTCTTTCCATCTCACACTAAAGGAAGAACACTTTTGAATAAGAGTGTTCCTAACCCTCCCACACTAACATTTCTATCTGAAATCCCTCATTCTTCATTCCTTTTAATCTCATGACAGGATCATATGCCTTCTCATTTTCAAGACTAACTTCCTCCCTCTTCAAGTCTCTTTGTTTCCTCCCAGGTCAGAGGCCCCAGAGATAGCATTAACCCATTCCAGTTCTTAGATACACAAGCACCTGGTTGACTGTTAAAGTCTAAAGTATGATTTGGTGCAGGGGCGGGGGGAGAATCCTAAATCCATTATTCTCTTCCCCAAAGCTGCTTCACTTAAGGCCCCATCTATTACTTTTGTGGACTCTTAAAGTATCCAATAATATAGGTCTGCCTATCTATAACGTCTCATTTGTCTAGTAGCTCAAATGTATACATCTGATAAATTTAGTTTCTTAAGAAACAGATTCCTCTGGTGTAGTGCCATAAACTTGCAATTCCAACACTTCAAAACTGGAGGCAGGAGGATCAGGAGTTCAAGATAATCCTCCACTACATAAGAGTTCAAGACCAGCCTGAGATTAAGATCTTGTCTCAGGGGCTGGAGAGATGACTCAGTGGTTAAGAGCACTGACTGCTCTTGCAGAGGACTTGGGTTCGAATCCTAGCACCTACATGGCAGCTAACAACTGTCTGTAACTCCAGTTCCAGGGGATCTGATACCCATTTCTGTCCTGTGTGGGCATTGCGTGACATGACACAGGTACACTTACATACATGCAGGCATAATGTACACAGAAAATAAAAATAAAAGTTTTTTTAAGATCCTATCTCAAACAAAGGAAGGAAGGGAAGGAGGGAGGGAGGGAAAACAAAGGGAAGATTTAGATTAAATCACATCACTTTATTAAATTTAGGTTTTTTTAATTATTTTTTAATTTATTATTTTTACTTTATGTATATGAGTGTAATGTCTGCGTGTAGGTAGGTGCACCCATGTTGTTCAAAGCCCCAGAGGTAAGAAGAGGGCGTTGGATCCCCTGGAACTGGAGTTATAGACGGTTGTCAGCTGCCATCAATCAAATCTGGGTCCTCTGCAAGAATAGCCAGTGTTCTTAACCACTGAGCCATTTCTCCAGCCAATAACATCTTAAAGTTCTGAAATAATCACACTATTGTTTCCCCAGATTTCCCATAATGACTTGTGGATGCCTAAAGGATAAATCTGAAGCTGTCTGGCATAACAATCATAACCTGTCACCAACCTACCTAGCCAATCACAAATCTCTTAACACAATGTCTTGTGTTTGATATTTCCTATTCTGAAGCCACACTGCACTACTTTCTGTTCCATGAACATAACCTTTTGTGCATCTATATGCCCTTATACAATGGTTTCCATTGCTGTCCCTGTGAAAGATGACTTAAGGTCACTTTAATATTTTGAAATTACCAACAGTTCAAATACCACCCTTCTTTTTGATTTACTTCTTGAATCTTCTTAGTAAGAGATAATGATTATTTTTCTGAATTCCTATAGCACTTTATTTGAGACAGTCTTACAGAATTTACCACAGTATATCATCAATTATAAATACATACACATTTATTATATAATCATTTGAATAATGCACTCAATAAGTTCTAAATAGAATGTAAAGACTATGTTATATTATATATACATATATACATATATAGTACACACTTAATTTCAGTGACTGACACTTCATAAATACTTGGTAAATGAATGAATCCTATTTTTAACTGTAAGGGAAAATGTCATCGGCCGTAGAAATAGACTATCTTTTCACACTTCCTCTGATCTTCATTAAACTCAGCAATTTAATTTGGGTCTTACCAACTATTTAAACAAAAAGATTTTACCTAACTTTTCTTCTGACTTGATTCAATTTACATAAAGCCTAAAATATAGCATTTATCCATGGGAAAAGGAAATTTGGCAAGGAAGCAGGATTTCACAGTGAGACTAACATATGGGTAAACCCTGTCTAGTGAAATTACAGATAATATCATAGTCTGAAGACTGGGTGAGGAACTAGAGCTTAAATACACTGTTGCACATAAAATTTATTGCTAAAAGTCTGATATTTTGGTATCACTGGACAAATTTTGATTAAGTGAGCTGATATGAAAAAAACCAAATGCAAAAGATAAAGGCTTATTTAAAGTCCACAGCTTTGAGGCATTTCGGCAGGCAATTTCACTATTGCTTTCTTTCTTTATTTGGGCTCCCTTGGGAACACTGTCACTTGAAAAATTAATTTGTCTTGGCAAAGAATAGAATACCAATTGTAGCCAGAAATTTAGTGACCAGTTTTATAACTTAAATGTTCTTACCATACTTGAACAGATGACACTAACGTTTGCTCTCACACAAAGTTAATAAATGCTGCTAAGGAGATTACCATGAACTAAGATGCACAGTGTGCATGCAGACATGTGCAGTAACCAAGACTTTAAGGTTGATAATCACTTACTTATGAATGGATGGCGATAAATTTGCTGCCTCAGGCAGCTTCATAGAAGTTCTGCTTTCTTACACAGGCATTTGTAGCTTTATTTGTGTATTCTGCACATCTGTCTGCCATACTAGGGATTAAGTTTTTTGAAGAGCAACAACTTTTACATTTAGCTATGGTATTCTATTTTTTTTTTACTTAATCTAAATACTTAATAATGGTGGAAGTCTTACTGATTAAAAAACCCCCAGCAACTATAAGATGGTCAAAAAAACAGGAAAATAGAGAAATCATACCTTTGAACCAGGTGGAGCTGTCAAGCCTAAAAAGGCATAAACTGCATTATTTTCTCGGGCTTCAAAGAAGGCATCATAGTCCTTTGTGAAAATAAGACATGAAATATTAGCAGTCTGCAATCCAACAAAGGAAATCAAAGATTTACTCACAATAACCTGATTGCTGACAGGATAAGCAGTCTCCCTGGGGGCTAAGTTCTACAACACTGGAATTCTGGAAGGTGTAATCAACAAATAGACTTTTGAAAGAACATAACTACAACACCAATGTGGGAAGCTGAGGTAGGAAGATCACTAGTTCCAGGTTACATTGGGCAACATAGTGGGATACGATCTCAAGAAACCAAGGAGGGAAGGATGGATGAAAGGTGAGAAAGAAGGCTTTTGGATGCCATTTAATGTGTCCTAGAAGGTATGCTGTTCTTTGGGGCAACTGTAGAATTCCAACATCGTATAGAATTTACATCTGCTTGCACCTTCCTTCATCACTGAAAGCAATGATTTATTAGTAGTGGATTGCTTATTTCTGGTAGAAGACTCATTCCAATTCTCCTTATTTCTCTTCTGTTAATGAATTACATAGTGATTTTCTCAATCTGCAGCAAATTGGATATTATCTACATGTGCAGACAGCCATAACAGTAAGGTGAGCTTATGTCTGAGAAAAAGAGTAAAACATTCTATTTTATTATTGTTCTTTTTGATACAGGGTCTCTCTGTAGCCCATCTGGCTTGGACTTCCTGTGTAGACCAGGCTGGCCTTGATCTCACAGAGATCTTCCTTCCTCTGCCTGCCACCACAGCAGGCCTGAGCAAGACATTCCTGAAATAAGAGAAGAGACTTTAACCCTGAGGATCCAAGAGAAGTTTCACATGGTCAATTTGGTTTGGATTCACACTGTTAACCTCTAAACCACTAAGAAATGGTCAAACATGACTAAATTTGTGATATATAATCAGGACCAACAGTTAAATGTCTACTTTCTATCTGACCTTGATTTGTTTGATTTCTAAACACACCAGAGAACCTAACACTTTGGTTAATTTGTTAAAGCTGAAAAGTCTCAAGATTTTCTGAATCACTAAGTTTACCAATCACGAGATTCTTTTCAAGTACATTTTCTTTTCTGAGCACTTGGAGGATCTGCAGATAAAAATGTTGAAAGTATATTAATGCACTGATGACGCTAAATGTCTGGCTCCTAGCTCAAGAAATATCAGAATATATAACCAGGATGGTGCCAAATATATTAATGAAGAATCCATGTCATAATATTTTTCATCATATTAATTATCATTTCATGAAAATGTGCTTTCACTCCTCTATACAAAAAACAATCAGAACAAGGATTCTCCTTATAGGTTGTGTAGATTCTTCTATAACAGTCTCACAAACATAGGTAAGGGTAGCAATCGCTGTCATCTTCTAGTCGGATCCTGTGCCATAGCTCAATGGCATTCAATAGGATGCAATTTTCACCCAGGGTATATCTACCAGTGTCTGGAAGCATTTTGGGTTGTTCACAACAGAGGGTGCTACTGTCATCATATGGGTAGAAACCAAGGTTTCTGATAAGCGTCCTACAATGCACAGTGGTCTTCTAAGGTGGCAGTAGTCACAAGGTTGAGTAAGTAAAAGTAAATTTATATGAAAAGTCAATTTCTTAATGTTTCAGAATGAGAATCCAAACTTGGGGGTTAGCAACAGTACGATGTTGCTAGCAAAGCTAGGTCCAAAGAAGTGAAGAAGTTGGTGGTACAGAGCTAGGAAGTGAACACCTGGAAGAGATGTATTGCACAGCAGGCACAGTCATGGTCATGGACGTATCTCTGCACTCTTCCAGACAAGTACCTTTATTATTAGCCAAATGCAATATAAAACCAGTTACCTGCTGGCACTGGAGACTGAGCAATATAATTGGCAGAGGTAATCTTCCCATATTACAACATAAGAAAATAATGACGAGATCTTCGAACAAAGAATAACAGTGCTTTGACAGTAGGAGTTTCACGGTAAGGCATATCTAGGTTTAAATCCTGGACTAAGTTTGCATATTTACTATTTGAGTGGTTTAAGAAGCAAGTTAGCCTTTTTATATCTCATCATTTTTCAACAGAATAAAAACTGTAATAGCACCCTCTTTGGATTGGTATGAGAACCGAGTATCATAATGCACATGAAGCATATAGCACAATCACTGGCATTTAAGTTTTCTATGAATGACCGCTACATATCCTTCTCTCTGAAAGTTTATAAAGTTAAAGCCTTCATTCTCATTGCCATTAAGCTCTTAACTCAGCATCAGGCAAAAAGAGACTAAATAGAAAACGGATTCCTTGTCTATGAACAAATATGTATTTGATGTATTTGATGAACCGAATCTCACCTTCCTGACCTTTTATTTCCATCTTTGCAATTTTTAGTGATACTTGTCTTATGTCTATAAGAATCTCCATTCCCACGCAGTGTGACTTCCAAGGAAGAAGTAAATTAGAAAGATATGGTTTCTTAAATGTAGTCTTATAATCCAAACTGCTTTCAAAAATCACGCAATAAAATTTTCGATAATGAGATAGATAGCACTAATGTACTTTCCAAAAAATTAGAATTTTGAAGGAAATGACAAATGGTTGATGATAAAATATATGCTTATCTTTTGTTTCGGGGGAAAAGAAAACATAACAAAAGGCATACATGATTGAAAAACATTATGTACATGTGTGAAAATGCCATAATGGAACCCATTAGTATGTATAATTAATGTATACTAAAAATTAAATAAATTAAAATAAAATAAAGAACATGTGTTCTTCAGTTATGCTAAACCTGATGAAAAACCTAGAGATGTAAACGTTTCAAATTTCAAATTCCTACAGTCCTTATAAATGCTTTCTGTATCGTGCTATTTCATGTATATGACTTTACAGCCATTCTAATGTTTTAAGAGTGTAAGATTCTTTTCACATCCCACTTACAAGCAAATCAAGAGAAGAGACTGTTTTATTTATATCTCTACTTGTCTTGGTGCTTTGAACAGTCAGACTATAAAGGTGGGTGCATTATACAGTGAATGAAGAATTAAAATCAAATCAAGCACTCCATAGCTAAACCAATGACTGTGTAAGATTGTATACTTGAAAGCTTGTCTGTCATAAAACAGAATGTCAAATGTTGCTTCCTTTATTCTTTGTATGTGTTCAATTATCTACCTTAAAATTTTAAGAATATTCATTAATGATACCCAAACACAAGAGTTACTAACATCCACCAGAAGTAAAAATTTTCCTTTTTAAACAATTTTAGTCTAAATAGGCATAGTAACTGCCTTGTTTTCAGAGGCCTCTCCATGGATGCTCCAGAAACAATGCTATTGATGTAGCTGGAGTCAAGATGAATAAATACAAGCCAATGATCTGCTCAAGGTATGTGTTTAGACATTTATAGATTTTGTTTGTTTGTTTGTTTGTTTGTTTGTAAAAGTGGCTGACTGGTCCATTTGGTTCCTAGAGGACAAAATACTAACTGCTTAGCATGGATTCAGAGGAAAAAATGACTGCGTGCAGAAGTGATTGCACACATATCTGGAGGTGTGGCTGAAAGGTGTATGCTAGTTTATTTCAATAGACAAGAACTGAAATTGTCTCCTTACCCCACGGTATTGGCTTTCATTGAAAATCTGAGGCGGCAGGGGGTACCCTGTGGCTGGTCGGCTGTTTTCAGGTACATTTTCTCTCATCCACTTCCTATTCTCTTCATTAGCTGCAATGTCTTTTTCTTCAAATCCTATTTTGTTGGCTTCTAAGAAACCAAGCACATCTTGCTGTTTCTTCTTAATCTAGGAGTCAAAGGACAAAAAATGCATTGCTAAGCAAATAGCTTTTGTTTTTATTTTCAGATTCAAAAATGTCATGGATCCAAATTTGCAGGTTCACCAAGGACGTATCTTTCCTGTTAATGGCATCACAGAAGTGAAGCGCCTACAGGTCCTTTTATCAGTATTTTTCTCTTTTTGCATTAAAAATTTTCATATCTAATTATGCCTATAGAATTCTAGCTTAGGCACATCAAGAACCAAAGTACAGTTAATTCAAAAGTGTATGTAGAGGGAAACGAATATGTTTTCTGAAGATATTCAATCATATTGTATAGTTTCAGTCACTCCAAATGTTCTTCATTTACTTTCCACTTTAACAAGCACCTACGTCATCAAAAAATGACTCTAAGTGCTTCAACATCACGCAAGCCTCGTTTTCATTTTTCAGACCCAAAGTCAAGATGTAAGAGCTAAGCCTGCCCACATACTGCTTGTAACATCACCTGTATCATTCATCAGCTCATAGCATGTGCAGTTAAGACACTTTTCTATGTACTTGTGCTACCTCACTAAATTAATAGGTAGAGAGTGCTTACTTATATTGTCTCCTTATCACACCAAGGAAAGCATTTTGGAAATAGTAAAATTAATACTTCTTAAGTTTCTCCTACAATGTGTATTTATTTTAAAACCTGGTTTCACATATCTATGTTCATGTGCCCATGTTTAAAAACATTTCTTAACGTTTCTGAGATATAGTTAATAATCTTTTTAAAACATTTTTCATTGAGTCACCCTATAAGGACACACAAGACAGAGCATTAAAAAGCCAAAAAAGTAAAATATAATGGAAATAAGCAGTGTACCTAATGGAAATCAAAATGCAAAATAAGGACCTCATAGGCAAAGTCTTCTAAATTTACCCCTCCCATCCACACCCAAGTGTACATGCTTGGACCAACAACTTGGTCCAAGTTGTTTGTGATTATGGGTAGATAATTATTTTCCTATAAAACCACTCCAAGAAGAATTTCTCTACAAACGCCAGTAAAAACTAGAATTTCTAATGCCTGTTTAGATCAAAATATTATTCCTAAAGGATGAGGTATAATGAAGCAAAATTTACCACAAGGTCATTATTTCTAATGCGAACGCTATTTCTTCATTTAGTATATCAAATGAAACTTTCATTAGAAGTTTGAAAAATATCTACTACATAAATCAATAAATATAAATGTCTGGTGTGCAATACACTTGATAAAAGGGTCAATTAAGTAGTGGTTTCCAATCCTTGGCACACAGTAGGGTAATTCACTCAAAATGAAATGTGTTATTTGTCAATTGTTGTAGCCTATTTACAAATCTGAGTAGATATAAAGATATCCCACTACTGTGGTACATTCAGAAGCCCACCTCTCCAACAATAAGAATTATACACAGCCCTGGGAGATTATCATCATCATCATGGTGTGGACAAAGAACAGAGGACCTCTAACAAATAGCTCTTTGAGCTTCTTACCATCTTATTGGATGCTTCTTATGTTGTGAGTTAATAGAGTGGCTTGGTCTGGTATCAGTTCACACATTAGTATATCTTTACTGATATCTTTATTATAACATAGATCAAGTTTTTTTAAAGGAGATTGAGAAGATTTCTGCTTTAGAGGGCTCCAGTGTGAACATTCCACATTTTAGAGAAAGAACGAAGCTTCATTAACGATATTTAAACTGAGAAAACAAAACGGGTTTTCCTGAAACAAATCTGCCAGCCTCATGAAGGCTGGCACTTTCTTTTCTGATGCTTTAATGATTCTGACTGTGAGGAGCTAAAATCTAAAATGATGGTCAGACATGGCACTTAGTAACAACTTAGTAGTAGTTCCTTGGTGCTTAACAAGTGATAAGCAAAGTACTTTACCAGATTCTCTGTGTCTAAAGAAAATCAGCATACATAGCCTTTAAACATTACAATCTATGGAAGAGATGATACACACACATATTTGAAATCCCAAATGTAACACAGTGTTTAAATTAAATGCTAAGAAGACAATGCAGGATGGTTACATGCAAAGGCCTAGTGAATGACAAAGCCAATGAGAGAAAGGAGAGAAAACACATTGCTATTAGCAAGGACACTTAGACTAAGTAAGTAATAATGACGGCACAAATGCTAGATTATCCACCCATCTTCATGGTTTTAGTAAAAGGATGTTGTTTAGTAAAGAGTAATAAAGCTGGGGCTGGGCAGTTACATCAGTAGGTAATGTGCTTGCCGTGCAAGCATGAAGACCTGAATATGATACCTAGAACTCACATTAAAAAAAAAAAAAACCCAAGCATGGTGACACCTGCTTATAATCCCAGTGTTGGCATGGCAGACATACACAGATCACTGCAGCTCACTGGTCAACCAGCCTAGCCTTCGAGGCAAGGTTCAAGCAAGAGAGGGACCTATCTTAAAAACAAGGTGGATGGTATCTGAGAAAAAATATCTGACATTGACATTCAGCCTCCAAAGGCACAGAGAGAAAAGAGGAGGGGAGAGAGAGAGAGAGAGAGAGAGAGAGAGAGAGAGAGAGAGAGAGAGAGAAAAGAGAAAAAAAAAAAACAACTATAAAAAAAGCAAAACATCCAACTGTAAAAACTGAGTTCACAAAGTAGCAACATACTGTTCTAGAATAATGAAAGCTTAATATTATGAAATAAGCCAGAAATGTGCTAAATTGATACTCAAATTTTCTATTATTAAATTTCTTAAAAATTATTGAAGTCTAAAATGAGAAAACAATTTTGTAGCTAGAACTTTTGTCTTTTTAAAAAATGTTATAATTTGTAACCCAGTCAACTCCCTCAAGCAGAAATTCAGACATATAAACAGACTCTCTCTAGTTGGCTCTGTTTATTTCAAATTTGCTCAATAAGAGACACTCTACAAAAAAAAATAAGCCTGCATTTGCCTAGTTCTATGTGTAATGGTTTAACAGTGAGTGGAAATGAACAAATAGCATTTAGAGCTTCTTTTTCTGTTTTCTTTCTTATTTTTTTGGTTTAGTAATCCACTTACAACATTCATCTAAAAGAAAAATGAAATTTGAAGTGCCATGTAGTCTGTGTGGCACTGGACCAGTGTCATAATGGCACTGTGTATTTATCTGGTAAGCAAAGAGATGCATTAGCACTTTCAAATGAATACTGTTACAAGCCTTTAAGCATTCTGCACCCTATTGCTAAATGTAAGGGTACAACACAGAGTTCAGAGAAGCTTACTTACCCTGCCCAGCTGTGAATCCTGTGAGCTACAACAACAGCTGGGCCTGGAAGATATGATGAGTGTGCAATAAATAGTATGACAAATGTTACAGGAGTAACCAACCACTTTCTGATTGGATTTAAGGTCTGTTTCAAAAGATGGAGCTCATGCCTGACTCTAATATAAGGCCTAGTAACTTGTGGTTAAAGGTCACATGCCATAGGGGAGAACCTATTACTATTACTCTGTCAAATGGACAACATACTATTCAAAAGATGCCTAATGATTTATTGTTATATCCATAATTTAATGCATCTCATCCTTTACCAGAGAATCTTCCTCATGCAGCAGATGGTGACTACCAAAGAATCCCATGTGGAGAATAAGAGACTGCAGAGTGCTTATCCCCCAGTAGGACACTTATATCAAATGTCTGCCTCACAAGACTCAGAGATCATTGTAGAAGAGAGGGTAGAACAATTGTAAGAGCCAGAGGTAGCTGATGACCACAAGTATTCCAGACAGCTGGGCAGTTACTCCTATGAACTCACAGCAATGCTGACAGCATACACAACTACCATGTAAGCTCAAGTCAGACAAAAATCCCAGCGTAGATGTTGGGAAGTGGGGAAGAAACCCAAACCCTAGCTGAGGAACTATTGGCAATCAATAGCTACTAAGACAGGGAGAGCAAGTCTCATTTAATGGTGAGATTCTTAGTAGGCTGACCAGGCTTCAGTGGATGGACCCACACCAAAGGTCATTTGGGTATACAAATTTGACTTGAGACATTATATATATATTACAGTACATGAAATCTGGAGAGGGGTAGTAAAGGAGAGTGCACATAAGAGAGTAAGTCTAAATATGATCAAAAAACACTGCATGAAATTTGCAGAAATTCAATAAAATCTTTTTATGAAAAAGAGAGAAGCTTATATTCAGTCTGTATGTTTCACAGTATTTTATTAGTTTTTATTGAAACTGAATCTCAAGTGTGTAGCTCAGGCTGGATTTCAACTCTTGATCCTTCTGCCTCAGGTTACCAAGTGCTGGAATTAAAGGAATGTCCCAGCACCTCTGGCTTGTTTCACCATATTTTCAATAATAGTTCGATCATGATCAGCCATGCAACTCATATCTATTTACCAACAGAGCAACAAGTCTGAACTGAGTATTAAGAATTATAAGGAGCTGTCTAGGAAGACTAGTCAAATCAGTAAGCTCTGAGATTGATTTCAACATCCTGCCTCAATGACTAAGGTGGAAGTTCAATTGACAATCGTTCCCAGCATCAACCTCAGGTGTTCAAATACATGTGCACACATATGCATGTGTAGCCACACAACATCTGCACCTACACATATGCAAAACACCATACACACATATTTATACCCTACACACATGAAAAATGAAGGAAGAATTCAAGAACGAAAGAGAAAGAATGAAAGAACAAAGGAAAGAAAGAAAGAAAGAAAGAAAGAAAGAAAGAAAGAAAGAAAGAAAGAAAGAAAGAAAGAGAGAGAGAAACTTCCCTAGCCAAGCAGAAGGGAGTTCATGCCTATCACTTAGGAGGCTGCATGAAGCTAGGGGATTACTGAGTTTAAGGCCAGCCTGGGATACATGGTGAGCTCCAGAGTAGCCTGGGGTATTCATAGTAAGACCTTGTATTTTAAAAGAGAGAGAAATGTTTTATTCATCTCCAATATCTACTCTTGATTCCCTGGTAGAGGTATTCCAGTAGTTGTTCCAAGAGGAGTTATCAAGAAAA